ACTGATTAAACCAAGATAACGCGAATTTTAATCCGAATCTTGAAATAAACCGCAAAGTGCTGTGGAATTCAAATTCTTCTGAGAATATGCCCATAAAAACTTAATTCCTGATTAAATGCCAAATCACGCTCACTTGGTCAAAATTTGAACCAAAAATCAATCAAACCCTAAGCCCACTGTATGAAACAAATCAGAGCTCTGAAAATCAGTAAAAAACCCTAGTTTTGCTTGACTGTCAAGAAAAGTCCGTTTGTCCGATTCTTGAGCCAGTTTGAGAAGTCAGGAAATGCTTGAAGCTGAGATTTCTTGGGGAAAAATGCGAGGGCAAATTTTGGGGTACAACACTCTCTTTCTGCTGGTTGTAGGTAGATAAGATCCAGATAATACTGCCATCATGAGCAGATTGTGGTGTCATCTCTGGATATGGTTGCTGGAAATGAAGCAGCAGAACCATACAGTATTCTGCTGTGAATAACATTAGCTGTCTTTGATTTTGCATATGATTTTTATTACTCAAAACTGGTGATTTGATTGTTTACGTTTCTGTAAGTTAAAAGTTAAGACTACTTAGTTCAAATTTTTTTATTTTTAAATCTGTTTTGCAGTTTATTAGAAATCTTATTAATTTTGCTCTACTAAGTGATGGGCATAAGAAGTATGTTGTAGTGATAGTGCCACATGTTTTACAGCCGGAAGACATTGGTTTACCTGATTCTTGCGCTCTATCACATGTATCCAGATTATGACTTCAGGTACTTGAGTAATATATTTATTTAATCCACTGTCTGCTTTGTATTGAATGACATTTCTTTGTTACCGCAGGAGAATATCACTGTCCAGTGCTAAACAAAGTTTTCACCGAGTTTACACACATTGTGCAGTCAAGACTACTGGAAATGTCTTTTGCTATGAGGTTTGTTTTTATCAGGATCCTTAGTGTTATTACTGCTGATTAGACTTTGTAGATGATATTTTTAATTATGTAAATTTGTGGGAATATGCTGTTAAGGAGTTAAACATCAAAACTAAAAACTGGAAGGAGCTACTCACCGATGAGACATTCACTAGGGATGACCTTATAACTATTCAGGTCAGTTAGCTTTGATTGAGAACATTTTATGCATATTCCTTTATCTTTCACTGGCATAATATCATGTTGATGTTTGTGCATGTGGGCCTTGCAGAATCCTAATGCACTTGACCAGAAGGTTCTTCTGGATTTTGATCATGTTAAACAAAATTTGAAAATTGATGATGAAGGTATGATACTTTCTGTAGCTCATCCATCTTTTATGAGCTACAAATCTCTTTCTGGTCTTGATATTGTTACTTTTAGTAGCTTTACGGACTTCTGTTTTCTTTACTCAGAACTACAGAAAATGAGTTCAGATCCAACCTATAACATAAACATGTCGGGTGGCACCTACTTTTCTTATATTATAGATTTTGATGACAACCAAACACTACATATCACTAAATATACTTTGTATGTATATTTACTCATAACTCATGTATATTTACCGCCTTGGCGTTGTATAAAGTTTGCTTTACAAATCTGTGTTGGTAATTATCTTAGGTTTTTGCCTTGTGTTTGGATTTGAGCTTTGATAGAAATATACTGCTTAGATTCTTACGTAGGATGATTACCTGTTAGTTCTACCTTGTCTTAGGTTTAGATCTGACATTTGCGTGAAGTATCTGTTCTTAATGACTTCTGTGTTGTTGAGGTATGCGAGAAATTGATACCGATGTGATACGGAAGACTTCTCAATCTGGGTTAGAGATAACTAAGTTGTGAGGGATATGTGATGACACAGACGAGTATTGTATGCTGAGTATAACTGGACGGTAGATTTAGGTCTGTGACGGGTAATTTAAATTCGTTCCGGACAAGTTATCTATCCTTTTTATAGTTTTTGTTCATTTACTTTTTGTCTTTACTTTTGTACCATTTAATCCCAAACTCAATTACAATAGAATTTGTCGAACGACGAACCAAACCAATCTCTGTGGACACGATACGATATAACCTAACCGGTATATATCACCCGGTAAAAATAAGACTTTACTATTTGCTTGTCCGCTGTACGCATTCAACACCGTCCAGATTCTGATTAGCTCGTTCAGATCAGTATTCAATCCTCTTTCACCTTCAACATTCAGGAACTGTCGTTTCCTTCATTCATCAGGTTAAAGAAGATTGAATAGGGGCAGTTGTTGCACCCCAAAATTTGCCCTCATTCATCCGCACATTTTTTAATGAAGCAATAGACGTTTATTTCGTCTCACAAAGCTTTCGAAGCTGTCGTGTCAGTTTGATCAGAAAACAGATAAAAATCAGAGATTCAAGGCAACATCGCTTTTATTCAGAGAACGTGGATAACTGACGACAAATTATGGTGCACATCGAGAAAAATAGACTGAGATGAATTTTCGGTTGAAATCAAATATTTTTGCGAATTACTGGAATTATGCGATGCACAATCAAAATTTCTACTCAGCACGAAAAATAAATAATAATAAAATGTTCATAATTTATTTTTATGACTTTTTACTATTAATTCGAAAAATAGTGAAAAAAAAAATATTAATAATAAAATTTCGCAATTTATTTTTTGCGATTTTTATTATTAATCGGTCCGATTATAAAAATCAACGAGAAAAAGAAATGAAAAAAAATAAGAAAGAAATAAATAAAAGAGAAAACAAAAAGAAAATAAAAAATTTATTTTCCATCCGGAATTTTTCTCTCCGTTCCAAACTACCGGGATTTTCTACCGGTAACCGAATTTCTTCCCCATTTCCGTTCAACCAAACAAAATTCCTTACACTATATAAATGAATTTTCTTCCCAATTTTCATAACTTTTCATTTTTGACAAAAAAACAAAATTTCCAAGTTATTTCCCTCTTTCTCTGAAAATTCAAAACAAAAACAATATAACAGAAAAAAAAAAAGAAAATTTCCCTTTCTTCTTTCTCTCTTTCTCTCTCCTTCTTGCTTTCCCGCGGCCGTCTCACCACCTCCCGACCACCTCTCTTTCTTCCGGCGAACAGCCTCCGCCTTCTCCCTCTCTCACTTCTCACCGCGAATTCCTCCGACACAACTCACCTCCGTCAAACACACGAAGACCACCGGGAATTTCTTCCCTTCCGTCGCCGGTCCTCTTCCATTTCCGCTCACTACCACCGAAGCCACTCCCGCTACACCAACAGCACCATAACTTCGGGCTTCACGTTTCCGAAAGGTTAGTACAACATCCCTTTTTTCTTAGCATAACGGTCCGCAAGATTGGTATCAAAGATTTATCTTGCGATAGTGTGTTGTTTAGATTTCTTGTGAGTTGAAAATGTCATGACTATTGTATTAAGAAATTTATTGAGAGTTTAAATCTGTTTCGGGTTTCCAGTGTGAGTCGAAACGGCAATTGGACTGTGATGAATTCCGATTGAAGTGTTGATATTGACACCATATTATGATAGTTCCATTACATTTGATTGATGCCATGTCGTATTGATAATTTTGATTGAATTTTCGATGCCGATAACATGTTTGTCTTTTTAGATAATTCGTCGCCTTGCTTGTAAATACTTGTGCACATTGTTTCCATTTGATCCGGACCATTTTTGTGCGTTTTCGTGAAATAATACGTGGCTGCCCGGATTTGACTCGTTTGAGTGTAGTTTACTTTGATTTCAAGTCTCTATGTTTGCGATGAAAATTGAACAATAGCATAAGTTTTTGAATTGTTTTCATGACTATTTTGATTGATAATGACTATGGCATGTATGAGTTGATGATGACATGTTTAGGTTCTTATAGCATGGCTTGATGTTGTTTCTTGTACTATGCTTGCACATGAACTGGACCATGTTATGAATGTGAACATTTGAGGTAGAACTAGGACTGCAATGTTTAAACTAGGAAATTGTGTTGAAGAAAGGCATGAGGTAAGAACAATGATGCATATATGTACTGCTGAACTGATATGTATATTTTTCTTGAGTATTTATAACCAATTGAATCTCACTAGAAACGTGTAATTTCAGTTTCTGCAATGCAAGATCTTAACATATTTTTATTTTCAGATTTATGATCTTGAACTTCGATTGTGTTCTGTATAGTTGCTGAAGTTGGTTGTAGTTCTGTATCATGGACGGATTTATGGTATAAGAATAATAAGTTGGTCATACGAAATAACGTCTGTTCTTTCTAGGATTTTTTAATTTAGGGTTGTTATTGTTTAGCCAATGTTGATGATTGCTAAGTGATGATAGGAATCTCTTCTTTTATTTGCTCATATTTTTTCATAGAATGCCTGCTAGTGTTCTTTGCCTGATCTTATGTTTAGAATTTACTTTGAGTGTTACGTAAGATTTTCTTTTGTTGACAAAAGTGTTACTTAAAGATTAAACTGCGAAATAAGGCTATTTACTAGAGCAAAATGGTTCCTTATATGCCTTTCATATGTCTTGATATGTTCCTTGATTAAACTGAGAAATATGGCTATTTACTAGAGCAAAATGGTTAGTGAGGCAAGTTTGTTAATTTGCATCAGGTCTTACTAGTTGAAAGATGCCAATTATAGTGAACTGAATATGACTTAACTAAAATGGATGAGTAAGTTAAATGATTTACTGCATATGCATTGAGATGAATTACTATTAGTGTCACTTGATTTAGTGGACTTGAGTGGACTGGTTAGTGTAATGAACCAAGTTAATTATGTTAAATGCCATTAGTCATGTTGCCTTTGAACTGTCAACTGATATGATGAGTTTTTTTGTTAGAATTATTTTTGATAATTTATTTTTTAAAATATATTTTATGATATTAAATAAAAAAAAGTATATTTGAAGGGAATAGTGATCTTTTTTTTTTGTAAGGAATTCATTAGTATCATATAAGTTAAGGTCATTTGGATTTGATATGAGATTGATTTATTCTGGTCTTCTTCATAAGCTCAGTATGTGATCAACTGAATTTGTACAGGTACCCAAATGGATCCCGAAACGGCTTTAGTCAAAATCTCTAGTTTTTCGATGCAGTTAAACAACTTTACTGGTTGGACTCTACATTCTAGAGTAAAAGAGGAAGTAGAAAAAACTTGTTTCAAATACTTTACGAGATTCCCGACGACTGAAATTAAAATCCCTAAGCAAATGATCGTCGATTTACTTCGCTTTTATGATTACGAAGAAGAACACTTTGTGTTTGGGGATACTAAAGTTGATCTTGGTCTTGAAGATGTAATGTACATCACAGGACTTCCAATTGATGGGAAACAGGTATATTTTTTATTTTATTTTATTTCATTTATCTCACTTAATAGGAATTACTATTTCTTAAGTTATTTATATACTTGTGACAATTTTGTTGTGCAAATTTCAGGATTTGAACCAGGGGATCCTATTGAGACAATAGTAAATCATTTGTCCCTAAATCCGGTTGAAGCTAATGATTTGCTATCTCTTAATAAGAGTGGAAAAAAGTCTCATAATATAAGTTTAAAAAGTTTGAAAGAAAAATTTGAGAGTATTGCTGTTACTGAGGAGAATGTAAATTCACACGTCAAAGCATACCTTTTATTTTTATTAGGAAATGTTCTTTTTACTACTTCTAGTTTTACCAGTGTTTCTGTTATTTATTTACCTTTTCTTGAAGTACTTGATATAGACAATTATGTTTGGGGGCAGCCGTGCATGCTACCCTCAAGGTTTCAATGAATAAAGTACGAAAGGGAAATACAACGTTGACCGGTTTTGCATATCTTCTGATGGTAAGACATTTATCAATATGCATACATCTATATTTCCTTTAATACAACACAAAAATGCTTATTTTTTTGTTTTGTTTTTCTTGTAGGTATTTGCATTTGAACGATTCAAATGCCTTCGCGAGATATTTAATTTTGCTATACCGAGTCAATTTCCGTTGATGTTGGGGTGGGTGAATGTAACAAGTGAGAATCTTAGGAATAGATCTTTAATGCCTATCAAGAAAGCTTGCTATGATAAGCTTCGGGAAATGACGGATGAAGATGTAAGTTTCCTACATCTCAAAAGTGAATTTTACTTATTTAGAATATATAGTTCAAGGATTATCTATCTTGTTGTATAGCTTAGCTTAGTCAAGCCTAGATGTTAGTAAGTTAAAAACTCAGTTAGTTAGTTAGTGTGTTAGTCTTCCTGCAACTGATATATATCCTGTTAATAATACCGGGGCTGATTTCGAAGATTTAGCAATAATTCAAATTCTAACAGTATTTTAGTTTATTAATACTTTATTTTATGTTTCAAAGGTGGATTTGTTACCTTATAGGAGGGATGGTCTAGAAGCTGAATTGGCCGATCAATTCAAATCTCAAAGTTGGATAGTATATGCGAAAGTATATACCATCTGCTTTGAAAATATTGCAAAACATCCTGTGCATACTTGTTATAAACAGTTGGGGTTGGAGCTGGGAAATTTGAAAAAATGCGATGATTTTAGAAAAAAAATGATACTACAGGAAAGAGGCCCGGGAAAAGATAAAAATTGGAGGGATTTCAATCTGTTTTATACGCATTGCAATACGCGGTGGGCGAAAAGGAATATGCACCTTATCAAAAAGAATTTTCAAATGTTTGGACCGCTAGTGAATTATTTGCAGGTCTGATTTTTTCTTTGTTCACGTTCGTAACCGGCATGAAACACAAATGAAATTTGATTCTGATTTTTTTTGCTTTCAATACCGTTGTATGCAGGAGGGAGATGTTGATGAACGTGAAACCGAATCCCCTCCTAGGTGTAATTTGCCTACACCTCGAGATGAAGTAAGTAAGGTTGCATAGCACTTTTGGTTATTATTACTTTGAATTTCTATTTTATAATTGACATGATATGTTATTGTTTCTACTGCTTTTCAGGTTCAGGCCCCCATCTTCGACTCTTCTCTGTCGCATGAAGCCTTAGCCATCCAGACGCCTCAGGAAGTCTTATACTCCCAGATGTCTCCACAGCCTACGGTATTTCATTCCCTTTTTTTTAGGTTTAATAGCACTTTTTATCTTCGACGAACCAAAATTTGGATAACAATCCTAATCATGATCGTGATGACAATGTTGGTAATGTTCAGGATGACGATTTTGATCACGATCATGATATGGATGACAGTCTTATTTATGGTGAGACTGTTGAAGTTGAAAATCCTAATAATGATGTGGATGCTGGGGTTGGCAATCTTGGGGTTGGCAATGCTAATAATGATGAGGAAGTTGAGGTTGGCAATCCTAATAATGATGAGGAAGTTGGAGACGGCATTCCTAATAATGATGTTATAGGTGTTGAGGTTGGCAATAATAATAATGATGTTCTAGATGCTGGGGTTGACAATCATGATGAGGGTGAGGTGAGTGATCCTTATTTATTTAAGTAAATTCGATTTATTTAATAGTACTTTTTAGATATGTGATATTTATTATTTTTATTTGAATTTCTATTTTATAATTGACAGCATAATAATAATGTGAGGAATTATACCCGTGGTGAAGGAGTACTAAGAACAAAACCCCGTATGCGTACAATGTATACGCCGGAACAAGAATTGCGTGTTAGAAAGAAAACAAAGCTTAGAAAGCCAAAGATCAAGTGAGAACTTGGTTCAAAGTTTATTTTCTCATGTTTTGAATAGTTTTAGACCTCTGTTTGTGCTTAGACCAATGTTTGTGTTGTTGTTTTTATACACTTCTAATGCATGATCTCCGTTGTCCTAAGTTTGTTCCGATGATTAGCATTTTCTGGTGTAGGAACTTGATACATGTTGCTGTCTTATACAGCTTGGTTCGAATTTTATTTTAACTCATTGTCCCAACGTTGGGACGAAATGGTGATGGGAAATAATTTTAATACAAATAATTTATAAATATTTTTATTCAAAAAAGAAATATCATACTTTATTCAAATAGAAGTATGCTTTACTCTAGAAATATCATTCTTTATTATTAATTGGTTTAATAATAATAATAATAATATTAATTTCCATTGATTTAAAATCATTAATTTTATTAATTTATCCAACGGTTAAATTAACTTATTTAATAAAATAATTTTTGAATTTTTTAACTAGAGACATTTTGATATTTTCATAAAAAAATCAACACTTCTTTCTTATTTATATCTTTTTTCTTTGTTTTAAAACAATCAATCCATATATTAAATCATCTTTATTTCTTATCTATTTTTCTAAATATATTTTTTTATCCTATATCTTTTACCATTATTTCTATACTCCAGTATTTATTAACTTCTTACGAGGAGCCAATGATAATAAACAAAAATGTTTCTTAAACTGGCGGATGACCTTTAATATACTTTCTCTCATGTTGGTCAATCGACTGATATGTATCGGTACTATAGGCTTATGAGACAGATTAGAATGTGCAAGGATTTGAAGCACTTGATTTACTACCTGTTTAACACGGGTCATGTTGGGAAAGAACCAGGTTGTGGGTTTTGAGCACCAATGTGGAGGGTTTGGTTTTTCTTTCTTCATGGTATTTGTCCCAAAGCATCCACGAGCTCTTGCATCCAATGACACGACGAAGCATATCACGAGATATAGTTGATTGTAGCCATGTGATGAGTATTTGATCTTGTTCCCATAGCTCAAGTTCACGAGAAATAGGATTATGATTTGCATCATCAAGCGAAGCAAACTTTAGTGGAATTTTAGGATTGAGCAAGAAATAATGAAGTTTATGAGCTTTGATTACAAGTTCTACCTGTTGACACTACATGAGATAGTTCTCTGAATCAAGCTTTTTAGAGATGGTAGAAAATGAGTGTTTGCGCGTTGGGGAAGATAGTTCTCTCAATGTAATTCTCTCAATTTCTGTTTTCGTATTTCTAAAATGTGATTACAAAATGATTGAAATCTATTTATAGGATCATAGACCTCAATTGTGTTAGTTATAAGGATGCTTAAATCTTGATAAAAAATAAAGTAAGGTTAAATTAGTAAATGTGTATGCTGATTTGACTAAATTATTCGGTTTCTTAATATATGTGTCGAAACCTTAAACGGAGGGAGTAATATTTTAAATTATTAATTTAAACTAAAATATTTATTATTAAAAATTAAATAAAAAATTCTCACACATGTTTCGGGTGAAAATCAAATGTTGTATTCTATATATATAAATTGTACTTTCAAGACACTAGGTGAAATTCAATAGTGACTAATCACATGTACTAGCTAAATTTTTTAACAAAGATTACTATCCATCCATATCTATACATTATGAGTACTGCACATGTCATGATATTGTAGCATCAAATCAACATGTCTATTCTTACTACCCTAACAAAGATGACAGGCTATACCTATATATTGGCCCTAACAGTGTTCCATATAATAATACTTTTCCTGTTTAAATCTTACGCTCTCTCTATAGTAATGAGTACTAAATAGTAGTTTTCTATCTCCTTTCATTTCAAATCAACAAGAGAGGTGTGATTAGTGATTTTTAAAATTTGTATATTAATAAAATAATAAATCACATAAATAATTATCTTTTAGTTCTAAAAACAAGTATTATGTGATTAATTTTATTTATAATTAATTATCGTATTATATTAATAATAAATATGTATTAAATAGAATGATATAAATTAGCAACAATTTAATTATTTCTAAATTTTGTAAAAAAAATAACAATATATATATTTTCAATAAAAAAGAGAAATAAAATATTGAGTAGAAAATATAAGTAAAAAAATAATAAATTGATAAAATAAAAAAAAACAATAAAAATATTTTGTAACTTTTTAACAGATTTAATTAATTTAATAATAAATAAAAAATATATAGTTAACTTTTTTTTAAGAGTTATAATAATGTGAGATAGTTGGTTAGTGGACTATACAAATCATGGGGTGGGTGGATATCTCAGTTGGCACTTGCTAATTAAGTTAAATGGAATATAAGCCGTTGGTCCAAAGTTCAACTCTTTGGGACGACATTTATTTGTATTTTCTTTCAAAATGTAAACATGTTATTGATATTTATAAATCAACAACATTTTTAAAATTTTACCGGTTTAAAATTGAATTGATCCACATGTAATGAAGATTTAAATTAAAATACATAAGAGTTCTACTAAAAAAAATATAAAAAATTTTGATTATGATACGATATCAAACTTTTTATATTTTAATCAATTACGATCAAGAATTTCATTATGACAGATTTTTATTTTTAAAAAATATATATGACATAGTAAAATAATATTTTTTGAATAATAATAGTATACAAATATTTTATATGCATTTTTTTAAAAATCTATAAAATATTATTTATTAAAGAACAAGAGAGGACGAAGGAAAAATGGACAAGGTTTTTCTGGAAATATCTTGGAATAACTTCTATTATTTCTAACAACAACAAAAATCCCCAATTTTCTATTTCAAAAATATTCAATAATTTTAAAATAGAAATTTATATATATATCTCTCTAAACCCACCGGTTGCTCTTCTCTCTCTCTAAACCCACCGGTTGCTCTTCTCTCTCTCTAAACCCACCGGTTGCTCTTCTCTTTGGAAACCCACCGCTGCTCTCCTCTCTGCTGCTCTTCATATCGTAATCTCTCTCATTACTTTCACATATTTAGTTGTCGATTTGATTTGTTACTTTGACGTAGGAATGTAGTTGGAATTGGATTTTCAATTGGTATATGTTTTTGGTGTGTGTATTGATTCTGAGTTTGTTAGAGTGATCAATTAAATTATACTTCGATGTGATTAATGGATTTGAGTTTGTTAGAGTGATCAATTAAATTAGGGTTTATGTGATTCTGATTAATTTGTATTTGTATGAATGTGCTTAAAATTTAGTTTTTTTTAATTGGTTTTTTAATTGGGTTTTGACTTTGTGTGTGTGTTTCTGTAGTGGTGATAATTTGGTGCAAGAGGCTCCTCTTCAATGGCAATGTCAACAAAGGTATGATATTACAAATTACAATGTAAAAAGCTATGATGTTAATAGCGGCACTATAGCGTGGCGTCAGACCACCTCTCCGCTATGCTATAAAGCCGCTTTCCGCTATTTAGAGAAGTGGAAATAGCGGCCGCTATTTGCAGGATAATAGCGGCGACGTAGCGGATCGGTAGCGCTATTTGGCTGCTTTTGCGTTTTGGATGGAAAAAATTGATAAAAACCCTTATTTTGAAAATAAGTCATAAAGTGAGCGGCCGCTATTTGCAGGATAAAAACCCGCTGTGTGTTTAGTATTTATGTATGTTGTTGGAATTTATTAGGGTAAATTTCAATTGAATCCTTTTAAGAGTAATATTGTTTGAAGTGTTTAATTTTGTACTTATTTTCTAGGATACTGAAGAAATTAGGCAATCTGTAAAACTTGGTGCTGGCTTAGCGACTCTTTGCAAACTTAAATTGAGCCCTGAAAAGAAAAACCTCATGGTGAACTCTGTATTTTATGATGTTATAAACATACAAAATAACAAAGAGAGTTCATCAATTTTTATTAAACTGTTTGGTGATTTTTACGATCCAACAAATAGAAGGTTTGTGTTAAACAATAACACATCTTTTTCTTTCTGTGCCAAAGAGGTGGCAGATGTGTTGGGTATTGAAAATACCGGGCCTGATTTCAACGCCCCTGCTGCAAAAAAAGTTCCTCAGTTTGTTAAGGACCTAGTGATAGGATATGGTGTAGATAGTTCTGGGAAAATCTCTACAACAACAATTAAAGAACTTTTGAAAAAAATGAATGTAGACGACGAGGAAAGTAGATTAAATTTTAAGAAAGTCTTATGTTATTTTTTGATCGAGATGTTTTTAATACCCTCCCCGGATCCCAAGAAACCACGTACAGGTTCTTGGTCAATGGTAGAAGATCTTGATGTATATGAAAAAGTGAACTGGGCTAAAGCAATCTATGAAGACTTACATGAATCTTTTAATAAGCTAAAAACTGCAACGGTGGGAAAACAACATAATTTTAAAGCGTGTGCGCCAGTTTTCGAGGTAATTGTTAATTTCCATTTTTTTGTTAATATCTTATATTTTTCATGTGGTTTATTTTTTGCTAATCATATTTTACTTAACTAATGTTAGGCTGTTGTGTTTGAGAGAATACCTTCCTTAAAGCCAAACCTATCGTCTTATCCTTATCCGCCAATTCAAAAGTATGATGCTAAAAGGAAGGATTGGGAACTGTTAAAAAGTATCAAAGCCGACGAGGTATTTTTTTGCACTATTTGTTATGCTTCTTAGTAGTATATAGAGTGAGGTGAGGGAGTGTGAGATTGTTATGGAAGTTTATAGTTTGTTTTGGACAGTTGCCTTTTTGCCTCTGTAGGGCATTAGGATATTCATCCTCTTGCATTTATTTACCTTTCGGTTTCAGAAATAGTACACTATTTCCATATTTGTGCCACTTTTAGAACAATTTAAGTGTAGCCGCACAATGATTGGGAGTGAGGTGAGGGAGTGTGAGATTGTTATGGAAGTTTATAGTTTGTTTTGGACAGTTGGCTTTTTGCCTCTGTAGGGCATTAGGATATTCATCCTCTTGCATTTATTTACCTTTCAGTTTCAGAAATAATACATTATTTCCATATTTGTGCATTTTAGTCCATTTCTTCTATATTCTGTAACTTGTGGTTTTTCGGGTTCCTAACATATACGCCCACTGGTTCTGGTTAAGAATTGACATTCTATTTATCAATTTTTTTCCTTTCATTTTTCAGATAACCCCATGTTCATACTGTGGTGATGGAGTAGAGGGTGATGCTAGCCCTAGCCCTAGCTCTTTGATTCCTGCTAATGTGGTGGAGGACTTTTTGGCTTCCGGGGCGGAGGACGACTCGGCTTCCTCTTTGAATGTGGTGGAGGACTTTTTGGCTTCCGGGGCGGAGGACGACTCGGCTTCCTCTTTGAATGTGGCGAAGGACAGTTTGGCTTCCGGGGCGGAGGACGACTCGGCTTCCTCTTTGAATGTGGCGAAGGAAAGTTTGGCTTCCTCTTTGGTGGATGATGTATGCTCTCTCTGCTTGAATGATGCGTCTGCTCAGCCTTCTTCGCCGGTGAATGATGCATCTGCTGCCAAGCCTTCTTCGCCAGTGAACGATGCAACTGCTGCCAAGCCTTCTTCATCGCCTCCACCTCCTCCATCTATGAAAGCTTTAAGAAGGTCGACAAGGCCACGGAAACAAAATTTGAAGTATAGCCCAAGCGAATACAATTAAAAATGAAAAAAAAATTAGCACTCTTTGAACTTATTTTAAATATGTTCAGTACAATTTTGGGTTGGGTTTTTTTCCCAGCCCTAACTTACTGGTTTAAGATGTGGAATTCTGTTAGTTTTATCTTTCTTTGTTCTATCCTTATTTATGTGCAATCTTGGTTACTTTACTTGCTAACTCATGTTTTTACTCTTATGCTTGTTCATTGTGATTTCTCTAAAAAATCCATTGAAAAACGAATTGAGGTACCACATTATTTCAGTATTAGATAAACTTATGTTCTTTATATGTTTGGTTGGACACAATTAGTTGTATACACGTCCAACCAAGTACCTCAAGTTATCATCGGCGATCCTAAACGCTTCCATTCCTATTGATATGTAGACACCATCCTCATTGTTGGGACAATTGTTGAAAATTAAAGGATAATTAATTTCCATAGGTGTGTTCAAATATGACAAAGTTGAAGAGGATAAAAGTGCCCCATAGACAAATGTGGAAATTGCCCTCAAATATGTCTGAAGGAATTTTGGTTAGTTTTTGCACTAATATCTACCAGTGGAAGTTAAGTGTTAAAACTGTCTGAACGAAATTTTGATCAGTTTCTGCACTAACATCCACCAGTGGATTTTGTCTCAGGCTACTGAAAGTTTGAATTTCAAATGCAAGGAAGATGTGTTGTTTCACAAGTTTGCAACTCTTGATGAAACAACACCTTTTCAGCATAAGATTGTAATGGTTCACCTATAGTTACATTATGCACCACTTCACGAAGTGTTGTGTATTTTGAATTCGAAATTCAAACTTTCAGTAGCCTGAGACAAAATTCAATGCACTTCCACTGGTGGATTTTAGTGCAGAAACTGATCAAAATTTCGTTCAGACAGTTTTAACACTAAACATCCACTGGTGCATATAAGTGCAAAAACTTACCAAAATTCTCTTCAAACAAATTTGAAGGCAATTTCCACTTTTGTCTATGGGGCACTTTTATCGTCTTTAATTTTGTCATATTTCCAGCAATGATGTAAAACAAATATCTGAAAAATAAATAATATGTGATGATCATAGTGATTTAGGGTCTTGAAATTCTCCATATCTTGATCTTTTTCACTTTTATAGTGAATTCTTGTTCTGAAAGTTCTGGGTATCAACCAAGGGTTTAGACAACTTCTAAACATCATTTAGATGGTGTCTATACTTTCCTTAGCCTCTCAAAACCTCCATAACCAAAAATCACTTTTCAACCTCCATTAAAGGTCTTTTTAAGGTCTTAACTTGTCATTTTTCAAACCAAACACCACCAAGCCAAATTAACCCATCAAAAAACTTCTAATAATCATATAGAAGCTGTACCACACCTCTAAACACTTGCCAAGAGCCTATAAACAGAAATCACCTTTCAAATTTTCCATTAAAGAACCTTTGAACTCAAACTTGCCAAAATCAATTCCTCTCGTGCGTTTTGAGGCTTTATGGTTTAGATAGCTTCTAAACATCATATAGAAGCTATTCAAACATCTGCATTTGATCTGTAACACCATTTTTATAGAGCACTCACCATAACTTTTTCAGGTTCAAGGTGAAATCGTATTTTTAGTTGCAGGCAATTTCAAGAACTTTTGAACATTGCAAAAGCTTCTTGGAGGATCATAGAAGGTGTCCAGATCATTGGAACACTCCCAGGTCCTCTAAATTGTGCTACACGAATTCATTTTCAGAGGGTTTAATTGTTAGAATCCATCATTTTTGGGTTCTTCGGATTTTTACAGAAATTCATCATGATCATTGACTGTTAATTGTTATGGATTACATGGTTGCGTTCGTGTGATTATTCTGATCAATTTAGAGTTTTATTTTGTTAAAAATGGTTAAGTTTTGGCAAAGTTTGAAAATTGGCCATTGTTGTTTGTTTTAGTTTCTTCACGAGGAAGAATATGACGTTTGTGTTGAATTTGAATTTTCATTTAGCGCGCTTTTTGAAAATATAATCAAATAAAATATAATCAAATAGAAGTGATAGTTTATCGAATACATTGTTACAGCTCACTTGGTTAAAAGCGCAAACTTAGTTCTATTGCCCACAAGGTCTGGGGTTCGAATTCCCCTCGCCCCAGACTTTTGTATTATTTTGTGATTTTTCAAACGTCATATATTTTCAAATGGATGCGCTTAACAATCACCTTGCACTTGTGGCTGAGTTGGCAGAAGATTTGGTTTTTGTGTTCTAGGGCGTGGGTTCAAGTCCCATATTGCCACAAGTCCACTTTTTTATCACTAATTTTTCTTATTTTCTAATTTACTTTTATTTACACTTTTTCTATTAATATAGTGCAAAAAAATATTTAAGTAATAATATTTAAATTGTCTTCTCAACTTTTTATTAGTAGATGATTTTTAACTACTTTATTTTTAACTATTTTTCATGACAACTATGAGAACAAAGTAATAAATAGTTGTTAAAGAAAATATAAATATAATTTATAATATGAGAATAAAATTAAATATTTATAATATGATTTAAACTATAATATTTATTATTAACAATTCAATAAAGCTTATCCTAATAAAACTTATTGAAAATATTAACAATTCAATAAAACTTATATTTCGGTTGTTGAATATAAAATTGGTCAAAAAATTATCGTAGAACATCTTGTCATTGATTTGATTCGAGCTTAGCTCAGACTAGCAGCAAGCAACAGCTAGAGAAGTATATAGGGAATTTTGGTATGTTTTTGCACTTATATTCACCAGTGGATGTTCAGTGTTAAAACTGTCTGAACGAAAATTTGATCAGTTTCTGCACTAAAATCCACCAGTGGAAGTGCATTGAATTTTGTCTCAGGCTACTGAAAGTTTGAATTTCGAATTCAAAATACACACACACTTCGAAGTGGTGCATAATGTAACTATAGGTGAACCATTACAATCTTATGCTGAAAAGGTGTTGTTTCATCAAGAGTTGCAAACTTGTGAAACAACACATCTTCCTTGCATTCGAAATTCAAACTTTCAGTAGCCTGAGACAAAATCTACTGGTGGATGTTAGTGCAGAAACTGATCAAAATTTCGTTCAGACAGTTTTAACACTTAACTTCCACTGGTAGATATTAGTGCAAAAACTAACCAAACTTCAGACCTGTTATTGCCTCAAACTTCCGTGGCCTAAGCGGCCATAGTCCCTCTAAGAAGCTGGCCGTGGAGGGTTACCTCCACATAGCTATTTAGCAGGCTGAGGTCTCGTTCGTTAAAGGAATTAACCAGACAAATCGCTCCACCAACTAAGAACGGCCATGCACCACCACCCATAGAATCAAGAAAGAGCTCTCAGTCTGTCAATCCTTACTATGTCTGGACCTGGTAAGTTTCCCCGTGTTGAGTCAAATTAAGCCGCAGGCTCCACTCCTGGTGGTGCCCTTCCGTCAATTCCTTTAAGTTTCAGCCTTGCGACCATACTCCCCCCGTGTCATACCCCAAAATTTGCCCACACCTTCAAGGGCATGTGTATCTCAAGAAATTTTCAAGTTCATGTGAGTTTCAAGAAGCAGGTATAAATTAACAAGAATCAGCAGTCAAATCTCCTTCACAAAAACTGCAAAATTAGGGTTTTGTGTCTCACAAGGAAAATGACTAATTCAAGCTCTCCAAAGGATTTCATTTGGTCAAACATGTTCCCAAGAATCCTCATACCAAGTTTCAAGTCAAGCTGTGCCCAATTGATCAGTCAGAAACCCTAATGGATGCATAAACAACTGCAAGGGTAAAATGGTCAATTCACATCCAAAAGTCAGAGTTTTGTGTCCAAATCTTGCACTTGAGTTCAATATCATCATTTGATCAAGCTTTGATCATGATCCCACAAGAACAACTCAAGAATCATCAAGATCCAAAACTTACTATTTTTGGACAGCAGTGAAAGTCAGCTGAACTTTGACCAGGCATAACTTTTTATTGGTGCATCAAGAAAATTCTATCCGATGCTCAAATTGAAGAGGATGAGATTCCCTACAAATATACAGCTCATGGGAATTTTGGTTATACACCGTTTGGAAGTTATGAATTTTTACATTATGTGTCAGTTTCCAAAGACAGTATAAATGCGTCAAATGTCAAAAATCATAACTGAAGATTGGTAAATCCAATTAATGTGATTCCAAAGGCATTGTTTAGATAATTCCAAGAGCTTTCCGAAATGTCCAAGAACATGGTCATGCGATTCAAATTGAGCAAGTTACGAGTTGAAGAAGTTTGCAGATTTCTGAAGAAATATATGAGAATCAGTCGGTGCAAACTTGGGCTTTCGACTGAATGGGCTTAAGACTCGGGCTTCCAAGACATGAGTTTGGATTTATTCAAGACCCTTAAGTCCACTTCCGGTTTTATTATTATTATTATCATTATTATTATTATTATTTTATTTACATTGAGTTTTTTTATTCAATTTAAATTACATGAATAATAATAATAATTTTAATTGATAATATTACAATTGGGCCAAATATCCAACTGTTTTTAACCTAATATTTTTTTTATATAAAAGCAGGACATTAGGATTAAAGGGGGAAGGAGGTCAGGTTGCCAACAAAAAAGGGGAATTCTATTTTTCACGAACAATTCTATTTTTCATGAACAGCACAGGGGAACGAAATAAATCACAAAGGCTGCTACTCTAAAAATCTCAAACGTTTCATCTTCGTCTCAATTCATTCAAACAGCTGCCGGCTCGAGTGCTTCCCATCGCCTCACAATCTTCACAATCCCATCACATATCCAAACTCCATTATCAATAACTTAACACCATCACCTTTCCATGTTTATGTTACACAGAAAATGTTGATTTATGTTGCTGCTTCTGTTTTGTGTTTCGTATAGGTACCGACTTCGAGTCAAGATACTGCAGTCTTTGTGTTGCAACGTTCAAAATTACCATGACCAAAGTACAGGGAATGCTCTCTCTTTCACCCAAACGCAACTCCGACGGGCTCTAGCCAAACTACACCTGTGAAATTTAAGTCTACACAACAAGACTTTATTTATTTTTTGCAGAACCATAAAAAGGAAGAGAAAACATCTTAAGGAAATATCATTGCCGCATTCGATCATTGTTGCTCATCGGCGTCACCTCCTTGCGGTGTCACTCAACTTTCCGGTGAACACAAATTCAGCAACAACAAACATTCATAAAAAGGGTTCGATACAGAAAAAGCGAACAGGACATCGCTTCGAAACCGACTCAGACTTCTACAAACCTATGAGCGAAACAGCGGTCCACCCTTAACTTCTTCATCCGTGGACATTTCCGCCAGTTCCTTTTTCACATTCATCATCTTTTTTCTCCATCAACGAAGCTTCCCCGCCGGAACTCACTCACCGTCAAACCCACAAGCCTCACGATCTCTCCGCTGTAACACAACACCCAGATCCGCGAACGATCATCGCCGCCGAATCCTAGATCTCATCATCGCCGCCATGAACCAAACCGACGGCCATCCCCAAATCGCAGCCTTCACCAACAACCGTTTCACGCACCGCAAAGTCGTCGCTCAGCCCAACCGCCACCGAGAACCACCGGACGGAACCTCCCTCACGACATCACCGCCGCCGGTTTTCTCTCTTCACAACCAAACCCACGCATCGTTTCTTTCCTTGTGTTTTTTTGTTTTGTGTTTTATGAAATAATATTTGGGGCTTTTGTACTTTTTTTTTAACAAATGACATTCACTGTTTGCGTTTTCTCTTTTTTATATAAGCTAATGTTTGTTTTGTGTTTTGGTTTTTGTGTGGTGTTTATTTTATTAACATGTTTTTATATATTATTTTTCTCACAATTTGTAATGATAGCAGATGAAGGATGATGGTAGAATGGTTAAGTACAACGCCTTGGAACGTGAGTGAGTGGTTCAAGCCCTCACTCTTGCATTTTTGCCTTCTCAAGATTCAATGATGCTACAGCAGCAGGATTTCGGATTCCGCTTTGTTTGACGGTATCTCTCATTCTCTTCTCAATGTTTTTAATCACATTCTTTTCTCCTTTGATTTTTCTTGATTGATCCTAATTAATAATTAAGTTAATTTCGATAACTTAATTAATTTTTAAATACAGTTTTCGTCTTAATTAAGGATTAGGGTTGTAATACGTGTAACTAGGTCATTTCTAAGTAGATTTAGGTTTGTAAGTAATCTAATTTAGAAAATTTAGGTAATAGAAATTCAGGTTCTAAGTTAATTTAGAATATAGGTAATTTATTTTTAGAATTTAGATTTAAATTAATTAAAATGTAATTAGAATAAAAATTAGGTTTTAGTTTGTACTGCTAATTTAAATAATCAGCAAATTAGTCTAATAGCATAGAATTAGGATTTCTTATTTTAATTTAAATGTCGATTAGTTTTGTAAATAAATTAGATAGTGTAATTAGGCTAATAGCTATTTAATTTCAACTTATTTTGCATAACTAATTTAATTAATGGAAATTAGGACTTTCCCGATTAAGCTAATATTCCTGTAAATATTTAGGATTTGTAAATATTGTAATTAGGTTTGTAAATAAAATAATTAGTGTAATTGGTTGATAATTAGGAATCCCTGCTAGGGTTTGGTTAAAAACTCAGGTTAATAGGGTTTGGCTTTCGCCAAGGCAAACAAATAGGGTTTAAAACATAGGTTTAAAAACCAAATCTTTAAAACTCAAAACCCTAATCCTGATTAATTGAAAACCCTAAATCCTGAAAATTTCAATTCTCTTTGCTT